GCGTTCTCTGGATCAGTACACAGAGCTACCAAGACTGATCTTCCAAGATCATACCCAGTGTTCAGGAACTGATAATCTGTGATGGAGACTTGGGCTCTATAGCCCTGTATAGCCCTGGTTCATAATAGAATTAACTCTGGCTTCTGCCAAGCGAAAGTCTGTAGGGTATTGAGCAGGCCAGCAAAATAATTTGGTAGGGATGCAGGTGATAAGCCAACCTTAGAATCCTTTGTGGGGGTGCCCTTCTCTGGTAATGATGCCCTTCTCTGGTAATAGATTCATTTTAGAGTCACTCTTTGTTCCCCTTACTAAGTTATGCCTGGAAGTGACCCCTGCAAGGATGAACAAAACTGATGGGAAGGCCTAAGAGAAACATTAAACACCAAGCTGCCTTTTAACCACTGGCCTCCTGACAGAGGTTGCTCTTGCTCCTACATGGAAGAGGGTCTGTGATAGGGGGATGTGAAAAATCCCTGTGGAGCCTTAATCCCTCCATCCTACCTTAGCAGAGACCTCACAGATAAGAATTGCTATGATCCCACTCCTTGCCCAATTTGCTGGATTGTCCCCGAGTGATAAGCTTGTTTATGAAATAAGTACCTCCTCATTCTTCACCTCTCTGTTTTTGCCTTTCTCCTCCTTGTGACTAAGCATATTTCTTTTCTTCAGGATGTGTGCCCCAGTGATGGTGGAACTGGAAGGAGAGACAGACCCCTTGCTGATTGCAATGAAAGAACTCAAGTAAGTGTTGGAGATTTTGGCAGTGAACATGACAGCACCTTAGAGTAGCAGTCCTCTCTTCCTTCTACACTCCAGCAGCTGGAGTTAATCTCTGTTAGCTTTTGAGGCTACAGGTTGTGCTGTCTGACTACAGCTGGGAATACAGCCTCTGTGTTCATTCAGGGAGTGTGTTCTTACACCTGTGTTCTTTTAAATTGGGTTACCAGCTAGAATGCAATATCTGGGGAAGGGTTGAGTGCCCTGTAGATTGTGAGCCTATCATGTTAAGATGCTGGGGCCTTATTAATTCAGAGATCTGGTAGTTAAACTAAACCAGTGAGTTGTCAGCTGTTACTGGTATGGCACAACTGGACTCCCACATCTTGCTGAGGAGATGCAGCCAAGGTTCTGGCATTACTGTTTTCCTTTCTGTCCTCTCCTTAGAGCTCGGAAGATCCCCATTATCATCCGCAGGTACCTGCCAGATGGAAGCTATGAAGACTGGGGTGTGGATGAGCTAATTATCACAGACTGACCTGCCTCCTGTCAATGCTTCCTGGTTCTTCCTTCTCCTACAGATGTTTTTATTTTTGTTTGTACTTGTGTAAATAAAGTCTTAAAACCCCATGTTTAAGCTGACCATGGGTTTTTTTCCCCTGTAGCTCAGCTTTCTGTGACAGGAGGAGAAAGCTGCATCCTTCCCATCAAGTTAGACCTGTAACGTTCTTTCCGCCGCAGTCTGCTCTGGCCTTTCTCTTGAGAGGTACTGCCTTTTAGCCTGCTGGTAGATGCCATGAACAAGGTGAGGTGCTGTTCTATTCATGCTTTCCTCAGAGAAGTTCTGCCTATACACTACTGCAGAGATGGACTGTTCTTTCTGCCCACTTAGTGGCTGCTGGTCATATTAAACCCTTGCTATGTAAAAATTCTTCTGCAGTCACTTGGCTTCTAGGAATCCTCTAAAGCAATTAAGAGCTCTCTGCCCACACCTTCTTTCACAGCAGCCAGGGGTTGGAGTCGAGGAGACACCTCTGTTGCCTTCCAGGAGACAGACAGGCCTTTGTGCCCTGAAGCAGGTTGCCGTGGAAACCCCCAATTTCCTCTCTGATCAGGGCTGGCTCTGGGGGCTTCTCAGGAGTATCGTAGAGCAGCTCTCATCAAATCTACTATTGTTTCTCTGTTCCTGCCCCCCACTTCTTATCAATCACTGGGATCCCCTTTCAGTGGCACTGCCCCAGCAGGAAGTGCAGTCGCCGGCCTGAGTCCCCACCGACTGGGAACCTGCTCTGCAGCTATAGGTGCACTCTGTGCTTTTACACTGTATACAGCCATCCCTGCCCACACAGTCCTTTTGATGCCCAAGCCATAGCCCTACCATGCTTGCCCTGACCTAAAACATCACCATGAGTCCCTACAGGAACAAGAAGGGAGTGCATAATGTATTGAATAGGTTTGAACACTTGACTGCTTACAATGTCATGTTGCTTACTGAGTTAAGTGACTTGCTGCTGAGACTTACTGATTTCTCATGGCATCATGCTCGGGGTGGGGGGATGTAGTGGTGGCCTGCACTGCCACTCCAAGGGAAACTATTTATGTGCCAACCTCCCTGTAGGCCAGGATTGCTGCTGCCTGTAGATTGCCCCCTTCCCTCTCCCCAACCTTTATATGTTTAAGAGTCCTTGCTCTGGGGGTAGAAAATTCCTCAGTGGTAAAGTGGCTAGGGCCTGATTCCAGCAACAAATGCATTATTAAAGAAGGACCTTTGAGGTTATGAGGTTACACAGGCTGCCCTTGGCTACTGTCTCCTTATTCTTCAAATGAGGGACAATTTTTCCTCTGGGCTAGTATTGCAGACCCTGTGATTTTTAGAGCCAGATAAACTGAACCACCTTCATTCTGTGTGTATGTGCGCCCCCTTCATTCCATCTGTGTACACAGTCTAATGCGCCCATCTTCCATAGTGGGTTAATATCTACCCGCCTGTAAAATCATCATGCATCCCTACAGTGCATGTTACCCATATTACTTCTATATACACTTAGACTCAATACAGGCGCCAGTCTACCTCCTCTTTGTGTAGGGGTATGAAACAGAGAGACAGGGATGGATTCTGAGACCAGTTATAAACAACAAAATCTCTTGGCCAACTGATAGCTGAAGGGGGACATGCAAGCCGGCATGGGAAGAGTGTGGGCTCCAAGGTGTGCATGCCTTTTCTGTCCATGCCACCCTTGCCAAGAAAAGGTTAATCCGCAGAGTGATGGCCTTCGGCCCTCTTCCCCCACCCCCCATGGAATCCTTTAATCACGTTGGCGCGGTGAAATTTCAGTCCTGAAATGGTGCCTTTGTGTGATCCTTTTGGCGTCCGCGATGGAGCGCGGGGGTCGTTTTCTCGTCCCTTTTTTTTAAATAGCCTCTTTGTTCCGCGCCTGCTTCCACCCCCTGCCCCCCCACAGCAAGCCTTGCATCTGTATCAGATACGATTAAAGGGATAGGGAAGGACTCTGGGCCAACTCCTGCCTGGCTGCGGGGGGGGGGGGTACTTAACCCCTTTGTTACCAGTGCACAAGCAAAGGGTGGGGGGTGTTCTTAAGCCTGCTTCACCCGGGAGTGGGTGAAACAAGGCCTCCCATTTTAGGAGCCGTTAACTGTGTGGGAAGCTCATATGCTGAAACTCTTTACGTTCCTTGAAGAGCTACTGGAGGACATTTGTGTTTAGTTTTCTTTCTCTGCCCTTGCTAGCTCTCTTTGCTCAACTGCACAGCCCTTCCCCTTACCTGTTTTCCTCCCAACACTGCCAGAAGGTACCTTCTGATTGCCCATACCTAGCATTGTCACAGTCCTGCTCCAGATCTTTCCCTGGTCAGTGTTTTGTAAGGAGATTATTTTCCCCTCTTCTCTCAATGGCTTCACCTGTTGCCCTAGTTCCCTTTCATTTTCATGCACTTAACTATCCAGTTCCACAGCTCTGTCTGTCCAGGTCTGTCTGAGTCATTTCAATAGGGGCTGTACTTGCCTGAAGCTTCTGAACTGATGGGGCCCTGCTAGCAGGCCTAATCCAAAAGCTGCCATTGACTTCAACAGACTTTGGATCTGATCCATAGTCTCCAGAGCACATGCTCACCCCCACCCATTAAGCTCCTGGTATCCACAAACCCACTGACTAAGAAAACCTTGACACTATCTTTTAGAATTGTAGAAAATTAGGGCCTCCAGAAGTCCAATTCCCAAACTTTGGGGAGGCTGTTCCCTACCTGTGCGTGCTCTGGTCCTACCTTGTTATGAACGGCCTTGGGAGATTTTGTTCTTAAGTTGAGCAATGTCTGTCATATGTTATCCTTTCTGCCATCCTCAAATAGTTTTCCAAGCACCTGTGTGTATGTGTAGGTGGCTCACAGAAGAAAGGAAGCTTGGGTTCCCGAGTTTATGCAGACAGGATCCATGCGTGTGGCCATTTGTGCCAACTGAGACGTTAGATGGTATTGATAGTATTCTGGAAAATATATGTGCTCAGGGAGGGCGTCTTATAAGGAGATGACATGATCTAATGCCTGGAGCTGAGGACACAAAGATGAGAAGGAATCAAGAGGACTGAAGTTCCAGAAACTCACTACAGTGGGTAGGTGTTGGGAGGGGAGGGGAGGGGAAAGGAGTGGTAACAAGGCTATAGTTAACAGTCTCTGACTGAATCCTAATTGGGGAATGTGATTAGAAGGGAAGGACTACTTACTAAAGAAATAAATACAGGCTGGAGAGACAGACATCTTGAGCAGTGCTATAAGTCACTCTGAATGAATTCTGTTATGGTCCTTTCAGCAATGGGCATAAAAGAAACATGCACACGCAGGGTCTGTGTGACTTAGACACACCTTCCTCTTATTTAAGTGGAAGGGCAAGACATACATGAAAAAGGCAGAAAAATATTGATGCATGTAAATGAAACCTTTAAGTTTATTATTCCATACATTGAATGCAGAGTTAATGGTGCTAGGACAGCGCGGATTCTGAGGACAGGGAT